GAAACTTGGCAGCAGCTCCGTAGCTGCCTGCCAAGACCTTTTACTCCAAGCACACAGAAACAAAAAACAATACACACAGTTTAAAGCCACAGCAAACTACTTCGCCAGAGATTCAGCTTTTGTCCATCACAGAGGTCCAAATGGCCACCACCTCCCTTTTATAGCCTGTGGGGTGTGGTCCAGTGACTCAGCTTAATCTTTGGCACGTCTCCTTTTCTGCTGCGCACGCTTGTCGCTCCTACGCTGGCGTGGATCCAGCCACAACTTCTCTTCCTCACTATCCGAAAGACCTGGCTCCTGGCCAATCTCAGAAACTCCTGGCTCCTGGCCAATCTCAGAACCACCTGGCTCCTGGTCAATCTCTTCTCCGTCGGGAGACACCTGAGGCTTTGCCAAAGAGGAGGGTCCTGGAGAGGGAGGCCTGGCCATCTCCTCTCCTTCATGTTCAGAGCCTTCTTCCTCCGATAAGAGGGGCTCACAAGACGGAGCCACAACAGGTCTTGTGGAGCTAAGACTGAATGCGTTTCAGCATAGATGGCCACCACAAAATTGTACATTGGCTCCCGGCCGGCCTGGGTCAGGGCCAAGGCAGCGAGGGCCGTTCCCTCACTGTTTCCAGGATGGCTTCGAATCCGGCCCCCGGGCCTTGTGTTTAACATGTCTGACCTAGAAGCTAGAGCTTAAGAGAGTAGAACTCCAGATTCTGAAATACATGGGAAATGGACTCATTAACTTACAACAGTTCACTCAGTGGCCACTTGAAGTTACAACAGCCCTGTAAAAAAGGGGACTTACGACCGTTTTTCACACTTACGACTGTTGCAGCACACCCCCCAGGGTCACGTGATCAAAATTCAGAGGCTTGGCAACTGAGTCATATTTTTTATGACGGTTGCGGTGATCCCCTTTTGTGACTTCCCGACAAAATCAATGGGGGAAGCCCGATTTAACTCTACAACTGTGTCACTTAACAAGTGTGGCGAGAAAGGAAAGAAATGGTTTCCTATTTCATGCATGATAAAAAATGTGAAATACGAAAACATTGGGATGCTGCATCTAAATGGAAAATCTGGCTCTTTATATGATTGAATATTGAGCAAATTATGACAGACAAGAATTGTTTGAATATTAAAGGGAAATTAAGCTTAAATAAGAACTATGAGAATAGAATAGATGGTGAACTAATAAGATGACTTTTAGAAAAATAACACGAGTTAAGAAAAAACATCATACCTGGACGTTATTATTATTTGTATAAACGTGGGAAAAAATGTTTACATTGAACCATTTATGCATTGAAAATATTAAGAATATTTGTTTAGGGTGGAAGGAGAATATTATTGGGAGAAGGAAAGATCAAAGAAATACACTATTAATTAACATACTGATTATGGAATTACAAAAATTATGATTGGCTGTTAATTAACTACATGAACTATATGAACAAGACAAGACGCTGTACTCCAGGCACTAAGGATTGTTATTGTAAAAAATCAATAAAACATTTCTAATAAAAAAAAGAAAGATTGAGGGCAATAGAGAAAGATGGAGGGCAAGAGAAGAAGGGGACGACAGAGAATGAGGTGGCTGGAGGGAGTCACTGAAGCAGTAGGCGTGAGCTTCAATGGACTCCAGAAGATGGTAGAGGAAAGGAAGGCCTGGAGGAACGTTGTCCATGGGGTCGCAATGGGTCGGACACGACTTCGCAACTAACAAGAAGTCTGGCTGGATGTGGACATGGCGAAACTGAGTGCCTCATACTGTATCTTACCCTTTTAAGCAGCTGGTATCTGTACGTATAGTCAAGGCCATGGTTTCCCCAGTTGCAATATATGGCTGTAAAAGTTGGACCATAAGAAAGGCTGAGCGCCAAAGAATGGAGGCCTTTGAACTCTGGTGCTGGAGAAGACGCCTGCGAGTCCCCTGGACTGCAAGGCGATCCAACCGGTCAGTCCTAGAAGAGATCAACCCCGACTGCTCTTTAGAAGGCCAGATCCTGAAGTTGAAACTCAAGTACTTTGGCCACCTAATGAGAAGGAAGGACTCCCTGGAGAAGTGCCTGATGCTGGGAAAGATGGAGGGCAAGAGAAGAAGGGGACGACAGAGAAGGAGGTGGCTGGATGGAGTCACTGAAGCAGCAGGCGTGAGCTTCAATGGACTCCAGAAGATGGTAGAGGACAGGAAGGCCTGGAGGAACGTTGTCGATGGGGTCGCGATGGGTCGGACACGACTTCGCAACTAACAACAATAACAACAATAAAAAAGGAAAAAAATGTGGCAAAACTCAACAAATGTCTTGCTTAGCAAAGGACATTTGGGGCTCAATTGTGGTTGTACACTGTACACGTACAGGTAACATGTACCTGTACATGTTATCAAGTTAGTCTCGACTCCTGGTAACTTAGAAAAGCCCCTGCCATTTTCTAGGCCAGATTTTCAGAAGCGGTTTGCACTGCCTCCTTCCTAGGACCCAGAGGGACTGGCCAAAACTACCCAGCTGGCTTTCTGCCCACGTCAGAACTAGAATTTACAGTCGCCTAGTTCTGATTTTCTAGCAACATATTAGCTTCCCTTGTTCCAGGCATTAGAAAAGAGCATTCTCAGGAACAATTTCTGAATTATGGCGAATGAGGTGTTTCAACGGTTCCACCACCACCATCATCATCATCATCATAATAAAAAATATAAACTTGGAAGGGACCTTAGAGGTCATCTAGTCCAACCCCCTGCTCAGGCAGCAAACCCTATACCATTTCAGACAAATGGCTGTCCAGTCTCTTCTTAAAAACTTCCAGTGTTGGAGCGTTCACTGCTTTTGGAGGCAGGTTGTTCCACTGGTTAATTGTTCTAATTACCAGGAAATTTCTCTTAATTCCAGGTTGCTTCTCTCTTTGGTTAGTTTCCACCTGTTGCTTCTTGTCCTGCCTTCAGGCGCTTTGGAGAATAGATTGACTCCCTCTTCTTTGGGGCAGCCCCTGAGATATTGGAACACTGCTATCATGTCACCCCTAGCCCTTCTCTTCGTTAAACTAGACGTACCCAATTCCATTGGGTCAAACATTCATTGGGTCAAACATCAAAATTGACCCCTGAATGTTATAATAATGCAGGAGATAATTCCAAAGCAAAGCTTTCCTTGTTTCCTTGTGACTCACCTGTGCAAAGATTAAAAGCTGTGTGGTGAGCATGATGATCACGATCTCAATCCAAAATCTTCTACAAAAAAAAAGGGAAAATTCAGTTTCCTTTAGAGAAAAAGACAGTGGGGAAAAGATAAGGCAGCATTCTTCCCTTTACTGATGCTTGTCCCTTCTTTTGTCAAAAGGTCTTCCCTTTTATACTCAGGCTCTTAAAGGGATACAGGCCCTGCTTGCTCTTAAAAAGACACAGACCCTGCTGAGTCATTCCTAACATTGCATCATTCATCTCACATTAAACAAGCTGGTTAGCTTCTAACTCAGGCATGTCAAACTGCCAGCCCACGGGCTGGATGTGTCACGGTGAAACCGCACCCTCCCCATTGCCGGCAATGGGGAAAAAGTCGCAATACGTCAGTACTTTTCTCTGTGTCTGTATGGTGCCAGACATGCAGAGGAACAGAAAGGGGGGGGAATACAAGTGTCTGCAGAAAAACTATCCCCAGAACCACAAGGAATTCCGAGGCCCATGCACTACAGATTATTATTTTGGCAGCTGTTTGGACCAATGCCCACCACAAAAAGATGGGCAATGAATTTGACACAACTGCAGAGACTTCCCCCGGAACAAATTTACTCACAGCTAAAGGAGCAGTGAGTAAAATCCCCTCGTTATAGTTGCCTTACCTCTCTGCATTGGTCCCATATCATTGTGTTCTCTTCATCTTCAGTCTCTGCCCCAAACAGCTCTGGAGACAACGCCTGCTCAAGAACTTGCTCTGGTCTCACTTTAAAACGTTAGAAGATAAGCATTTAAAAATTAGTATCCCATGTGAAGAAAACGTACTTTTTAACAATTCTGTGGCAGAAACGCTGTGGGCAGGATTAGGGTTATCCTGAATCTATGTCTCTCTATATATATCTATGCTTCTATCTGTCTGCCTATCTCTGTGTCTCTTATTTATAGAACTTACAGAACTAAGGAGAAACTTCCTGACAGTTAGAACAATTAACCCGTGGAACAACCGGCCTCCAGAAGCGGTGAATGTTCCAACACTGGAACTTTTTAAGAAGAGACTGGATAGCCATTTGTTTGAAATGGTATAGGGCAGTGATGGCGAACTTTTTAAAGACCGAGTGCCCAAACTGCAACCCAAAACCCATTTATGTATCATTGGGTGCCGGGTGGGCATGGCCCACTGGGTGGGTGTGGCCCACTGGGTGGGCATGGCTTCGGTGATAATGGCAGACTGGGTGGGACTAAAAAGTTCAATCAATCAATTCCAACTTTGCGAGATTTTTTTCCCCCGCAAGAAGTTGAGATTGATTGATTAATTGAACCTTTTTTTTTTTTTTTTGCACATGGCAGCGGAGGCCTAAAGAGAAA